GAGGCAGAAAGAAGCCTCCCCTGGAGCTTCCAGAGGTGGCATCACCCTGCCAGCACTTAGATATCAGACTACTGGTCTCTGGAAGAGTGAGAATAAATTTCTGTGGTTCTGAGCCACCCAGGTTGTTATGATAGCCACAGGAAGCTCATACAGTCCCTATGAGGATATCATGAGACCACAGATGTCAGCTGCTTAGCACAGACCCAGATGGGCCAGGCACATGATAAAAGCTTAAATTCCTATTAGCCATCAGGCCTGCTTCCAAGCCTTTGCCCAAGGTCTTCACGCTTCCCCTCTTGCAATCACTTCACACCAGGTTCTGACTCACTGATAAGGCCCATCTACCCTGCAAAAACGAACTTCAATTGGAAGCCAACATTCTTGTTCTCTGAACGCCACATGCAGCCCAGTGCACAGCCAAAGGGCAGAGACTTCGGGGTCAAGCCCACCTGGTTTCAATTCCTAGGTATGTGTCTGTATATATATATACATATATGCATTATTTTAACGCATTTATTGGACATTTACAAACCTTCTTGGAGAAATGTTGATTCAAGTCTTTGCCCATTTTTAAAATCAGATTTTATGTCTTCTTGTTGCATTGTAAGAGTTCTTGATGTATTCTAGAGCAGACCAGTATTTTTTTAATTAAGTGCCCCCTCTTGCTGCGTGTCTCCACAGACAAACCCACAATGGGAGGAGTCGACAGAGGTGTCTCCTTACCAGCCATCGTAGGTCCTGACCCCAGCTCGCCTTGCTTGCTCATCCTGGGACCACCCTGAGCATCAATCAGAATGTGTCTGTAATACAGTCAGTTAAGGAAGCACCTATCATGTGCTGAGCACTGGAGGGACAATGACGAATAACCAGCGTCTCTTTGAACCACAGCCTTATAGTTTGCAAAGCTTTTCTTTCAGGCAGGACATGTGCATTTCTGGCTTTCCCCACTGGGTTTAACCCAGGGGATAATCAATGATTATTAGCTCAAGTTGCTTCATCACCCGCCCTCAAACATTCCTCCCCCACTGCTGAGTGCCAGGTCTCTGCTCACAGAGGCAGACAAGAGATGGGTCATCTCCATCCCTCCCTCAAGGATAATGTTCTCCACCTACTTCCTCCACTGTACCGTGCCCTTGAGTAAGGGAGTGTATGACATTTTTCCTCCTTTCAATTCACTATCGAACATAGGAAATCTGGCAGATACTTGTCAGTGTTGATGGCCATTTGATTGTAGGTGGATTTCCTTTTTGGATCTTTTTACCTCGAAGGGTTTCAGGGAAGGGAAAGGGGCTGTAACTGCCCCAGGAGTCTGTCTCATCTTCGTT